AGTGCCATAATTAGCATTTTAAAAAGAAAAAACAGTTTTCTTAATTTGCTTGAAATACAGCATTCAGACAGCTTTGTCAATACAACCAAGAGTGACAAACACATTTTAAGTAACGGGATAGAGCCCAAAGTCTAAATCCTGTGGTCCCATAATTCATATGTCTACTCAGATGGAGTTGACCTGCATAGTTCTAGGAACAGCCCTGCTTTGGTTCTGTGTTGTAAGACTCAGTATGTGCCACAGACGGTTACTTGTTGCCAGCAGCCATGCCAGCCCAGCAAATCCTTCATTTTGCCAGCAGATCTCAGAGAGATCTCACTTTTTATGAGAACTCGCAGCAGCACAGGCAAGGCACCTGGCCTTACGGTGATTGCCTGAGTTGAGGGGAACCAAGTTTGCCTGAGCTAAATTCTGTTTTCCCCAGGCTCTTTATGCACTTGTCAGTTGTTACATCTAACCTAGAAACACAAATGGTTTTGAAGTTAAATGTTAGAACAGCCATTTTATTAGTCTCTACATAGGCTCTGCTAGAGCTCTTTCCAGGTTTTGGATGCTCCGTTTGGAAGGAATATGCAAAGAGCAGCCTAGCACTATGTCCGATTCTACAAAATCCCACTACGGACAGCTAATAATACAGTATTCTGCCATTGTATCTCTTATTCCAGCTTCATGTGGCATATGGGTGAGTCTCATCTCATTCAATCTTCCTCCTTGATGTTTTAAAGGTTTATTTTATATCTCATTCTGTACATAAAAATAGAATAATATTAGTAATTGAACACTTTTTGAATGGCACAGAGATGTATCACAAGGTGAAAAACAAGGACAAATATAATAATGCCAATGTTATATATTTCCCAGAAGGAGACAACTGCAATGATTGTTTCTTTCATGCTTTATTTCACATTTAAATCAGACAAAATGCAATGGCCTTTAATCCCTGCTGTTGCTGGGCACAAACTCTTTACTCAGTGAAAAGGTTTCCACAAGTACATTGCATCTTGAGCCAAACGTCTTGTCTCAGTGCTGGCTGGTGACTGTGGATTCTACGTGCCACTGCTTTTTCCTTACAAGTGAGATCAGTGTTTTACAGCGCTGCCAAGTTCGGCAGTTTTTAACTTCCATATATATGGAGGCATCTGAGCCACCGTTGTTGTTTGGCACTCCTTGTTTCTGGCAGGAGTAGCTCTCCTCTAGCGATGTTCCTGGCCCAGATCTCTCTCAATGAAATCACTGGCAGATTTCCCACCACTTTAAGTAAGAACAGAATCAGACCGAAGATGCATGTGCCTCTCTGAGCGTACTGCAGCAGCAAGTGGTCACGATTGCTATCTGGCAATTCAACCTGAGGGGCTGGTGACATCTCAGAGTGAGTTGATTACATTAACAGTCAAAGGCATATTTACAACATCAAAAAAGATAATGTCTTGCCGAAGGGAAATAATACATGGCAGAAAATCTATTTCACCTATCTTAAAGTACTTCTTCTTGGATTCAGGTCAACTAATTGCACAGGAAAGAAAAATAACCAAAAATGAAACATTCCCCACTTGCTGACCAAGCACAAAAACATAAAGAATTGCTACAAGTATCATAAGAACATATTGTGTTGAGACTATTTCCCCTAAAACTTACCAGTGCCATTCATTTCCCTGAACATCTCTTGGCAAGAGGACAGCCCAAAAGGAAAATCATTAAAACACGTTGTCAATTTTTGCACATGTTTTAGAAAGGTTTTTCTTTCCATTCTCAGCATGATGGGTATTGAACATGTCTAAAACTGCAGCAAGGAAAACTTTTCATAAAATCTTAGAGCATAGGAGGGAAAAGAGAAGCTCTGTTCAGAAGCAGCAAGTACCATTTCTAGTCCAGGACTCGGACTGAAGGTAGCTGCTTTTCAAACTTACCAATGGAACAATTAATAAAGGAACCCATTAAGGTCTGATTGTTGCTGCTAAAAAGGGAGGTTGAATTTCAGTCCTTTGAAGTAACTGAGAATGATTCAGGCCTCATTACAGAGATATAATCTACATTCATACATTTATGTTAGTGATTCAAATCTATTGGGACAGATTGAATTCCGTTAAATAGTGCATCTTTCCTGTGGAACTGTTCTCAGGCTTTCTCAGGCTAACCCAAGAGGTGACCCAACAATACAAAGTAGTGGGTATTTAGAGATTCAACTGTGCTGCAAAAGAAAGACTATACAGAAAGGAGAAAAAAGAATGAGATATAATCTAAAAAGCTATGTCAGCTTTTCATTGGGACTCTGTTTTGTAAATGCCCTCCCTGTCATCACGCGGGATAAAAAAGGACTCTATGCACTGTATGTGCAGAACACTGTGCTGAATACTGCACCTGCCAGAAGCAGGTATGCAGTTTTGTACTTAACCACAAGATCTTAAAATCAACAACTAAGGTAGGAAGAGGTATAAGAACTATTCTTGAATAAAATTCAAGAGAGGGCCCATTTTAGAAAGGAAGGGTGTTAAATATATTTGTTTGACCCTCACACTGCTATTTTCTCTAGCCAAAAGAGATCCTGAAATGCATCTTCCTCACATTTTTCAACATTTGACAAGAAAAAGAGTAAAAATGGAAGGCTTCATCTAATGTATAATTTAAGACATTGTGATGATAAATTACTATTTAAACTGTTGGAATCGAAAGAACATCGGTTTCAGAGACGGTAAGCTGTACGCAGGACACTAAGTAAACACTGACGGTAATTCCCCAGACACTCTCCAAGGAGAAGGCTTTTCCTTTTCCTTTTGGTTTTATTTTTTTTTTCATTAAATGCTACAAAAGAAAAGCCTAAGACAGAATCACTAGAAATTTTCTGACGTGTTCTGCACTTAGTGCAAATACGTGCAGAATAAATACTCCAAAGAACCATAAACAACATCATAAAACATATTGATTTTAACATTAAATGGTTTCATTTTTAAGGCTGTTTAAATGTCACCCCCAGAAGCCGAGAACATAAATTTAAGAGCTAACTCTCTCCAGAATAAACACCATAATTGGAGAAAATCATTTCTAATTTCTGTTGTGAAGCTAACAATATATTTAACATCCTAATCTAATGAACCAGTCTAATTTTAGAACTATTTGTTCTTTTCTACATTTTCTGTTCCTTAAATGAAGATTGACTCCAAATGCCACATGAATTGCATAGGCGGTTTTCCACTGCATCCCACTGATCTGCGTTATTAAACTCCCTCCATTTCACAAAAGTTCTGGTTTTACATATCAAGGAACTTGCTGTGTTTCTCCAGCAGCTCACTTCTCCACTGCTCTGTGCCCCCAGTTCCACCTACTTGCATTCCAGAACCATTATTTTACAGTACTAAATATTGAACCAACACTCAACGTCTAGCAATGCTTGCCCATATCCTGTCAGACCCCTATCATGCATTATGTGTTAAAAGATAGTACATCATATGGAAGATGCCTGTTAATTACTTGGAAGGCTGACAGTTTGGTGACGGGATAGAAATATGAATCTGTCATAACATTCAGTTTGTGAAGTGACAAATCCATTAGGAGAGGCAGAATCAAAGGAGAAAAACAACAACATATGCCTGTCCAGGAAAATAATAGCTTGAAAAATCACTTTAAAATAGCCTTGGAGATGGAATATTTGTTCCTTTCTGGCAAAGGAAACTGCTTTAATAATATAATAATATTAAAAGAGAGAGAGAAAAGCATTCAGACAGATTTTATAGGGGAAACCTTTGCCATCCCAATAAATCGCCTTTTGCTTTGAAGTCATACGCGTGATTCAGTAAATGACTCATGTTAGCAATTAGAAAATGGTCATTTAGGGCCCCGATTTCTTTTGAGACAAGGAGGGTGAGGGTGGGGAAAGAGACACAATAAATCTTGAGAGGCTTAAAAGGAAGAGCAGGCTAAAGTGCGAACTTTTTATTTCAGCAACGGAAGTGAGAAATCAGTGATTCATTAAAGGAGGGAGAAAGACCTCCATGGAAGCTGGCAAAGAAGAAGGGAAAGGAGCTAATTATGTCTCTTCCCCTTTTTACTCTCTCCGACCAGCATATAATCTCCTCTCGCAGGGTCTGCTTGCAGCATGTACTTCTTTCCAACCTTTCCACCCAACCCCTCCTCCAGCAGGGGGGAGGGGGAGGTCTAGCAGGCAACAAGCTCCAGGTGGCTTTCTCAACCGCTCCGCTGCCAAAAAAATAAAATAAAATCCTCCGCTAGAAAACAAGTTTCTTTTTTTTTTCTTTTTTTTTTCTCCTTTTTTTTTTTTTTTTTTTTTTTTCTTCTTTTTTCTTTTGGCTGATCTGGGGGGAGCCTCCCTGGAGGGGATTGGTTCAGCCTGCAAGACAGGGAAATTAGTAAGGCATGAGTCTCCAAGCCATGCTGGTGGCCAGCACTCCGAGGAGCGGAGCGCTTTAGGACCAATTAGCAGCGAGCCGAAGGCGGCGGCGGCTGCTGCCGCTGCAGCCCGGGAGGAAGCGAGGGCAGCTCCTGGGGCTCCCTCCGCAGCAGGCACTGCTCGCTCCAACTGCAAACAGTTTCAGATGTCCCACCGCTGCTTGACCTCCTGCAAATAAGGGTTGACCACCAGAGGCACATCCCACCTCTGATTTGTAATCGCTGACATTTAGGCTACAGCTTCCAACCTGTTTACAACCAAAGGGGAGGGAAAGGAAAGGAAGGAAAGGAAAGGGAAGGGAAGGAGGGGAGGGAAGAGACAAGTTGGGATTTTTTCCTCTCTTTCTCTCTCTCTCTGGGCTTTCTTTCTGTTTTGGTGAGGTTTTTTTTGTTTGGATTTTTTTTTGTTTTTTTTTTTTTTTTTTTTTTATATATATATATATACTGTGCTGAAGAACTCAAAGCAAAACAAAGAAACTGCCTCCTCTGGGGTTGTCAGTGAGAAAGGACGAGTTGTGCAACTGGTTTGGGATTTCCAAGAGGGCGAGGGGGTGGGGATCAGAAGAAGGTGCAAAGCCACAAAGTGTGAGTGCGAGTGTGTGTGTAAAGGGGTGTGTGTGAAAAATCCCTTCCAGCACCCCTTTCCGCTGTTTTTTATTTATTGTTGTTGTTGTTCATTCTGCTGTCATCTATTTTTCAGACCTTTCTGCATCTAAGATGGTGAAGAAAGGAGTGAGGAAGAGAGCAAAATAACTACTGGGAAGTCTCAAATCAGGTTGGGGAGTGTGTGTGTATGTGGGGGGGGGGGGAGAGGGTGGGGGGAGGGTAGGGAGGGGAAGAGAAAAAGGAAAGAGGATTAACCACAGCAACCCCCCCCCCAAAACACCAACAGCTCTTTTTTCTGAGGGAGGACTCGAAGGATTAAAAGGCAGCAACTTCTGAGGCGATCTGTCCCCTGAGTTATGGATGTTGGTGCACTTACTTCAGGCCAGATCAGAGCTCAGAGGGATCTAACCAGAAGCAGCAACCACCGGCTCTCCACTTGCCTTTTACCAGGTTTTACCCATCCAGTATGTTTCTTTTGATAAGACATTTTCCAGCGCCCAGAGTTTCAGTACAATGTGCAAATGGATACTGACAAATGGTGCCTCAGCCTTTTCCCACCTGCCTTGTTGCTGCTTGCTGCTGCTCTTCTTGGTGTCTTCTGTGCCTGTCACCTGCCATGACCTCGGCCAGGACATGCTGTCCCCGGAGGCCACCAACTCTTCTTCTTCATCATCCTCCTCCTTCCCCTCGTCCTTCTCCTCTCCTTCCAGTGCGGGGAGACACGTGCGGAGCTACAATCACCTCCAAGGAGACGTGCGCAAGAGGAAGCTCTACTCTTACAACAAATACTTTCTCAAGATCGAGAAGAACGGCAAGGTCAGCGGCACCAAGAAGGAGAACTGCCCCTTCAGTAAGTACGGCTCCGCCACGCCGCGGCTCAGCGCCGCGCCCGCACCGCGGCAGCCCCGGCCCGGGAGGGAGCGGGGCAGGGAGCGCGGAGGGCTGCTCGGGGTGGGCTCCTCCGGGAGCTGCCGCCGGCACGGGCGCGCAGATCTCCCCGGACGCGTTTGTTTTGCAAATGGCTTCGCCGAGCACAGTTTGTTTCTCTGCCTGGCAGAAGAGCAAATTAGAAAGATTTGTGAGGATGTGGCGCGGAGTGTGTGTTGGGGGGGAGCATTGTCTCCCGAATATGAAAACCATTATCCCCTGTCATTAACGCGCCTTGACGAGAACGCTCTATTAAAACAATGCATCGATTTCCCCCACGCACGCACTCCTCCCCGCGCCGCACCAGGGCCGTCCGCCCCGCGCTCCCCCCGGGCAGGAGCTCCTCAGGCGGCAGCGCCGGAGCCGGAGCGCTGCATGGCGAGCGGCTGCGGCGGGACCGCGCGGACCTCACACGCATCTCATTGTCAGTCTCTGCCCGGAGAGAAACGGTTTCAAAGTAAAAGTCGTGCGGCTGTTCCCATGGCTGTTCTTTCGAGATTTTCTGCAGGACGAATTAGGTTTTTAGTAATAGCGTGCTTCTGGTAATGTATTTCTGGCTGTCAGTGCTGGAAATGGAACCTTCATTCGGTTTTCTTGCCTGTGCAGTCTCAAACTGAAGCAACTGTAGTAAATCACAATATATTGCATAGTAATTCTTTCAGTGACTGCATCCCACTTCAGGAGCATGCTGAAGAAGTCAGCTCTGTTTTGCGAGTGTTGGGCTCCAGTGGTGGAGCACCACTCCTTGGTCATGGGGTTGCTCTTCATAAATCCAGAGAAACCCAGGGATAAATCTGTTAAATTAAAACAACTTGAGGAGGCTTAAGTAGCTCTCTGGCTAGCTAATGTGTCAAATACAGAGTGCTTCAGCAGGTTGCCCTTCTGTATGACAGCCATCACAGTTAATACTGCTGTATTTCTATTAAATACCCATAATGTAGGCATAGAAGTAGGGAGAAGGCTGATGTATCATATGTCACTGCTTCGTTTGCTCCACCTTGCAACTTTGTACTTTTTCATGCGCTTCATGTTCATAAAGGCTTTAGATGTCAAGGCAGCTGTGTCTTACCACCTCCCTTTTGTATTTCCTAGAAAGCCAAGTTCTTGAAAAACAGAGCTGCACTGAACACTTTGACAAGTTTGTTTAGAACCAGGTCTTAGCACTGTATCTCTCAGATAATTGTTTTTTGTAGAGGACACAATGATTCCCCAAATATGGGATTCTGAAATCTTTGTGCGCATCTCTGCAAACACAGAGCCATGCTGCATAAAACACCACTGCAGCACAGTCTGTGAGGAGCCCAACCTGACAACAGTGCATTCAGAGGTAAATGCTCTTCTCAGCAGCCACAGTGAGCCAGCAGAGCTGTTCAATGAGTAAAGCTGCAAACATTCACGAGTTCCTGTGAGATCTCACCAGTAAGGGGAAGAATAAACCAAAATGCATATATACATCTTTCTACTTTCAGTCTGCATGCAGAAAACGACTCTGTGTAACTGTGGGATATGATTGGTTTTCCTAGTTTCCAATCAATGCATCAGAAAGAAAACTGACATTCTTGGAGATGTCGTGGTTATTTTTTTCACATCTGCAGAGCATCTACTGAAAGAGAGAAGAATGTATTCCATATAAGTGCAAACCAATCGCTGTGTTATACGTAGCTGTATCCTGTTTCTCAAGTTTACATGCAGTAAACTTGAAGAAGGGATTCCTGTTGTCCTACAGCATGCAGCTAGCTAACCCACTTGCAATATGTTATGTGTAACATACTTCAGCAAAGAACAGTTAGGCTTCTGCTAGCAGAAGACAGGTTGAACAGTTGTATCATCTTACTCTTTTAATACTTACAATAATTTCCAATGTGAAATTGTGTTTTCTGTAAAAGCACACAGGCTGAGACCCTTTATCTGCTGGATCTTAATTTCAAGGATGTCTGCACAGTAAAGTGTTGCAAGCAACTAAAAATCTCTACCTATCAACACTTCCTGTAGCTGTGTAATCAGAATGCCATAATGCCACCACAATTCCCAGCCAGGCTTTGATTCCATGCAAATATGCAGTATCTTTAAGGTAATCTAAAAATGTGTGATTACACGTGAATAAATTTCTGCAACGCATAAAGGGTTGGCCAGCCAGCCCCCTGAACTGGAGCCTACTTAGCGTCAGAGGCTATTTAATCCCTAATAGGACCTCCTCCTTCAATACCCTGCTTCCCTAAATTCATAATAATGACTATTGGAACACAAGACTGTGCTTGAAATTTAATTTGGGGGCTGATTTTTCCTTACATTAATGTTTAGAATCCATTTATGCTGACATGAAGCCTTATCTGCAGTGCTCTAAGATCATGATATGTAGTGTAATTAGGCAACAGCTTTCATGGCTGTCTGCCAGTTAAGCACTGTCAAGTAAGAAGAACAGTTGGAGAAAGTCAGAATAAACACAGAATATAGTTCTGAGCCTTTAAAATTGTTCAAGAAGCATTAGTAGCTCTGCTGTGTAAGTATTGCATAGAGTGCACTAAATAAAAGTTTACTTTGGCAGATGCTTTCCAACTTGATTGCCTGGAACTCTTCCATCAGCCTTTCTCTACCTATAGGGCAGCAGGAACGGAGGTGGCTGCTGACAACGCTGTCAGGAGGCTGGAGGAAGCATCATACAGCAGAGCTGGAGTCTGTTTGTTGGTAGATACAAGCAGGAGTCTTTGCAGATTTTGTTCTATTGATCCTTATAGCCAAACCTTGGTCTCTGAAAGACAACAGCTCAGTACTAAAGTACTAACTCATCCCTTAGCACCACAGCTGTCAAGTCCCTTGCCCGTTTTTGCTGGGGACCTTTGCATGCATGAACCAGGGCAGCTGGTAGGCAGCTGTACTGCCTTCTGGAGATTGAAGTATTTTTGGGGGGGAGAACAAATCCCAAAACTCTCCAATGAGTAGATGAAATGCTTTTGCTGCAACCTGACATCTGGGATGACCAACAGGATCTTTAGCCTTACGTAAAAATAGAGAGAGCTGCACATGTCCAGATTCAGACCTGTCCTCCGTCTGGAAAGAGGGAGGAAGTCTTTGGGTTTGAAGGGCAGCAGGCGTTGGAGCCGCATGATGTAAACCAGCACAGGAAAACTTCAGTATATTTTTTGAGTAGTATGCTATTTTTAATTGACTTTTAAGGCAATTAAAAGTCTATGAAGCTCGTGACCTTTCCATTTACAGCACAGACCTTAGTTGAAGAATGGTGACGCAGTATGTGATTCTTAATTAGCAGCAGCTAACCTGCAGTCTGCAGCGTGAATTGTGCCCGAGTGAGGACTGCAGGACGAGGTCGTTAGGTAGATGTGTAATTTGGGAGCGAAGGCTGTGTAGCCGAGGCTGCATTTCAGTAGGAAGAATTACCGGAACGGCTCCTGCGGACCAAGCGGTGCTATGCAAAGCCTACGGTAGGTGGCAGCACAGCCACTGCCTGGTGCCACCTCTGCCGGACGTGGCAGGAGAGAAGGGATTGAATCCTCAGCTTCGTGCGCTGATTTAGCTCAAGCAAAGATAGAAGGGCTTACATCACCTGACAGGTTATTATTTGGCTCTCTCAGAGCTTCCAAAATGGATTAAACTAAACAGTGCAAAGACGCTGCGAGTGCAGAATAAGAGTATTCCCAGGGAGAGCTAGCATGAAATAATTAGCTACTGCTCACAGGCTAATCTGTTCCAGGCTTTTTCCCTGAGTATGCAATTATCTTTTATGTAGGGCTTTAGGATCTCCCGATGTTCCTGATGGTCTTTTGTTTTGCTTTAGTTACTGGGGGTTTGGGTCAGCAAAGTAGTGAATAACGGCTAGAAATAGCAGAGCCTCATTCTGCAGCCCATAAGATCTAATTGCTAAATACACTGATCATCAGTGTTGGAGGTTTTAAGGGTGTATGACATATAAAAACACATAATGCCAAATAATGGGTTACATACACAAAGACAGCATTTAAAAAGTTCTGATTAAGCATACTCGATAGTTGTTATCTTTGTTTTGTTTTGTTTTTGTATACCTCAAACCTTTGTAGGTACAATAATCTCGGATATGCAGCTCAAAGTGGATTAGATTAGTCAGTAAAATATGCTATTTTCCTACCACAGTTGTTCAAGCTAGCTGTTTGGGGTTATCGACTCCTTACAAACTGCTGCTTCCAAATTAATGTGAGAACTTTTCTCCATTTTTTTCTGAAGAAGGTTAGTAGCCATGTGTATTATTGCTTTATTTTTTTTAGAGACACTTTATTTTGCTATGAATTAAAAATATTTTAAATACGAAATAGTACTGCCTCACTGAAGTAATTTGAATTTTCTTGTTTGTTTGTTTGTTTCGTCTTTAAATGTGAAGTTCATGATGATTATGGAGATGATTTCTCAATTTAAGTCATTTTCCCCCCGCACGGGCGCGCCGCCCCCCCCCCCCCCCCAGGTGGGAGGGGGAGGGGAAGGGGGGGGAGGGGGGGGGGAGACACGGGCGGAGA